TTTGAAGAGTTAATACACTCCTATCTACTCCTATTGTCAGCCATATTTATTAGTAAAAGTTCGTGTTCAATTTCCGCATGCCATTGTTTTCATGCGACCAATCAAATCACTTCTCGTTTTGGTTTTCGCCAGGGCCTCCGGCAACGCAGTGTCAGCCGTGAGGCCCTGGGACCGAGGATGATAGTGGGCCTGCAAGCAAGGCCCGGTATTTTGTAAAACGCCCCTTTTCATAACACGCCCCATTCGCGCGTCAATTGTCAAAAAAGAACCAATGACAGCAACCAAATATTAACAAACAAACTCGCATTAAAATGTTGCGGGGTTTTCTCTGCTTATTGAGAACATAAGCAATGTGTAAATGGCTGCGTTTTAACTCCAAAAAAGCAAGCAACGCAGTCAGTAATTGCCAAATTTGCAAGTGCTCATTTTCAACTAAAATCGGAACAGGCAAATTAGAACGAATTTCAACAGAAAACCAGTCTCAAACTTCAAATCGTGAGGGAAGTCGTGCGACCACATTAGCATTTTATATATTATGTGTGCTTCGCTGTCGCCATTGGCATTGTTATAAATAAATTGCCTCACTTATCAGATCGTGTGTGCAATTCTTGTTGGCCGCGGAAAGTACGAAATTTATTTCAGTTATTTCATTTGGTAAAGAACTCTACAAAAGAAGAGAGCGTTCAGAGTCCAGATTGTTTCGTTTCAAACGGCAATTTAATACCGTCTTCTGTTTCGCTCTCTCAGCGAAGCCTTGTAAATCGCAAAGTGTTTCGAATAGGCTTAAATGCAACTGCATCTCTACATCAACCAAAAGATAATTTTCTTGAGGAACATATAACGTATCAAGTCTGTTTGAAATTAATGAAACTCAAGTAAAGGTTACTATAGTCTACCCCAGTCGTAATGAGTGCTATTCCAACACCTTACGACAAGCAATCCCCATTGGCATAACGGCAAAAACATCTCTTCCTTCAAGTAAACAATAAACAGTCTGTTCTTGTTCCATTTATAATCGAAAAAAGTGATCATGCAATTTTCGAATTTTAAGCTTATCGAGAGCCTTTGTGATGAATCACTTATCTAATTATAGAATCTAACAGCAAACAGCCAATCAGAATGCCGCGTTCGTGGGCGAACGCGGAAAGTACAAAATACCGGGCCTTGCTTGCAGGCCCACTGTCAAGTTTCCTTGAGCCTGCTCCCTTGGGCCTGCACGCGGGCTAGCTCTGATATAAAATCCAGTCTTCATTTTCGGATTGCAAATATTACGTATGTAATCTGATCGAACTATTCGATATATATTTCTGTTCATTTAGGACGGTCAGGTGATATGTTTCCAAGACAAGGACTGTTTCCAAGCAGGTATAGCAAAAGAGATGACTGCGCGCGGCGCAAAAACTTTGTCGTTAACGTGAATTTTCTGTTCGATTTTACTAAATTATTTTTGCCGTAAATATTTTGGGCCTAATCGTGTGAGCTCAGCTTAAAGATGCGGTACAGTCCGATCTGCACATGTGCACAAAGGAGCCCTCTTTTTATTATACAAACAGTTTATTTAGGTTTTTATTTCATTTTATGGTCTTGCAAAGCTTAATTGTTGTGTCTTGATAATTTATTATACTCTAGAATCATGAAAATATAAAGAGTTGTCGAATAAAATTCAATATTTTGGATACTGACATGTAAACAAAGCCTTTGTTTACATACGAACTGTACCGCATCTTTAAGACATTCTTGGAATCTTGCTTCTTTTCATTTCATTTCTCCTCGCTATAGCTGACAGCTTTTTTAATTTTTAAGTAATTCTGCGTTAATGTTAAAAATAAAGTAAACATTTATACAAAGTTGCCAGTTTTTTTAGTACAATCGCAGGTTATAAATGGTCTGTGATGTGTCTGGTCTGTGTAGCTATAGGTAGTGACAATAACAAGAAAGCTTCGGATTGATATAGGGATACAACTATACCTGAAAAATACAAGCAGAACTTCGACGTTCCGAGCGAAGGGCCGTCTCTCGAAACGTCCAAGTCCTCCTTGTATTTTTCAGGTAGTTGCATCCCTACCAATCCGAAGCTTTCTTGTAGTTGTACTTCCATTCTCTACAGTTTTGCAAAGTCAAAGTTATAATAATATAAGCGCATGAGCCTACATCTGGGGACGGCAATATGTGTGTGTGCGCGGGGGGGGGGGCGGGGTATGATAAATTTCCAAAATCCTTTAATGTAGTAACTCCGTGTGTATAACCCAGAGTTGGACCAGGATGCAACTGTGTCTGGTTTCTGCTTGTATTTCTGACTAACTCGCTGCACAATAAAATACTAACAATTTAAAAACTTCTGCAATTTAGATTCACCAGCGCGCAGCCTAGGCGAAGGTGAAAATATTGAACCCACTGTCACACCAAAATCACCATGAGGTAGGTATGTACACATTATCAAAAGGAGAAAAATAATTTATGTCAAATATGTTTTGAACTGAGTTTCAGAATAGCAAACACTATGGACACCAGGGGTGGAAAAAGTATCGGAACCTGGGAACCTAGTTCCCAGAAATTTTTTAGAGTTGAGAGTTTTGCAGAAAATTTTCCAGAAAATATTTCAACATTTTGAGATAACTCTGTTTACTCAACTTACAAGTTACAACTATTCTACTTTATTTACGCTGTACACGCTAACATCAGCAGCTTTTAAATATTTGACAGAAATGAATTCTTTTACCCACCCCTGCCATCACAATGACTGGTAAAATGGTAAATATATGCTCTGCAAAGTCTCCATTAAAATGCAAATTAAATGGTAAACAAATAAAAGTGATGGGATAAATAAGATGATAGGACACTTAGTTAAGCGTTAGATCCTTACTATGATGTTTGTGATGTTATTCTGGGTGTTTTGAAAAATATGCCTGGCCACGGTGGGAATTGAACCTACGACCTTTGGAATACTAGCCCATTGCTTTGCCAGCTGAGCTACGTGGTCAGGTCGGTTCGAATATGTGATATTTCTGAACTGAGTTTAGTTCTTTCGACATCAATGTAATCTAAAAATCATGATTTTGTGTGCTCGTGTTTTATACTGAGGTGAATATGATGTTTGTGATGTTACTCTGGGTGTGTATCCACACCGGGCAAGCTTGAAAAATATGCCTGGCCACGGTGGGAATCGAACCTATACGACCTTTGGAATACTAGATTACATTGATGTCCAAGGAACTAAACTCAGTTCTGAAATATCACATACTTGAACCGACCTGACCGCGTAGCTCAGTTGGCAGAACATTGGGCTAGTAATCCAAATGTCGTAGGTTCAATTCCTATATGGCCAGGCATATTTTTCAAGTTTGCTCGGTGTGGATATACACTCATAGTAACATCACAAACATCATATTCACCTTAGTGCATAATAGTCAGGTCTCTTATGACTTAATATGGGTCGGATCGTTACAGAAGTGACAAAAGCGCCAAATTTGGCAGAGATGTTCATTAGGACCTACTGATTAATATTAGAGGGGGAGCCCAACGCAATCTTCACCGTACAAGTATTAACGGGCCTTATAAAATTTACCTTGATTACGAATTGGGCTACTGTGTTGTTTTGCAGTTTTCATCAAAAACAGCTAACAAGAAATGCAGTAGTGACATTTATTGACTGAAACTATTATGCTTACTCGTTTTTTCGCATATTTCATTATGATACATCATTTATATATTACATAAGGCTTTTAGATATATACTAGTTCCCAGTCCCTTCTCGGTAAGAATAATCAAATTTCAACTTTAACTCCTCGAAGTCAGCATTACGGCTCTGCATGGCTATGTACAGCTGTGCAAAGAGTGCAACATTATTTTGGAGTGCAGCTATTTTCTTCGTCTGTTTAGATTTGTTTCGCAGGGGTCGTTTCCTGTAAAGGGGGATATTGTTCCTCTTAATGGTGTTGTGAATGGAGATCGTCCGATCCTCTATAACTGTCTTGACATATTCCCTGTACTGGGTCTGACCAAGGGTGTCGA